ACTGTTTCCAGGAAGTTCAATGATGTACCTTGCAACATCTGGTTGATTAAAACCACCTACAGTGAGGCTGGTTTTTTCCATTTCAAAGTTGGCCTCACCAGTCACTAAAAATAAACAATACTTAGGAATTATGTATTATGTACGAGACAAGTTCAAGTTGGTTTAGATAAAATAATACTTTTAGTTTATATAGCTTCTCTAGTTTGAAACTAACTATTATGATAAATCAGGATTTTATAATCACTGACTTTAAGAAAGGAAATACTCTCAACACTCAGGGTATTTATCGTTGTGCTCTGACTTGCTTTCGTCTTACTACTGCCAATCATTATCATAAATTTGCTGACCCTACTACTCCTGAGCCAATGTTTCCGCCTGATTGTCATGACAACAGATTTGTATCTGATATAGTTTACGAATTCATAGACTGTGGTATCTTTCTTAGGAAACTCATTCTTTCAGATAGATATATATCCACAATTGAGCCATACCTATGAAGTCCTCATTTCATCAGGAAGCTTAACTTGAAAAGCTATTTCATTCCGTTGAGGTACTCACTATTGATAGTGAGTTTGAGACAAGTGATGACATAAAAGTTCATTAAATACGATCCTCAATCTTTTATTTCCTCCAGGACAACCGTCGGTAGTCAAATCGGTGACACTATTAAATGAATTTGAAGTTGTTGGCCCTCATTTGAAAGGTCATAACTTGAAGCACCTAGGAATATCCTTCTACTTGAATCATGAAACAGTTTTTCGTACACAATCACTCTAAATACAAAGTTGGTTCTATTACACACATATGGTGTGGCAGTAACACAATGCCCTACTTACACCCTCTTTGTTTACCTTACACATTTCATGCAGTGTAAATACTACACGTGTATTTGTGTGATCACACATGGTATACAATTTTGGGTGTGGTTTTTACAAAAAATGGCTGCCTTAAGAAGAATCATGATTGTTGCGAGTTTTTGTGGTTATTTACATGATTATTACTTATTCAATCTCTATTCTAGACATATCTTAAGGGTGCATGAGTTGTCAAATATAGTGGCAAGAGTATGTATAACAAAGCAAAAAGTTAGTAGTAATGATTATACTTAAACATCAAAATCATTTATTATGTAGTATTTGAGAGTTATATAATAAGTAGAGTAGTTCTGAAATGTCTGATACATTGTTAGGACATTGTGATCTATTATTTTGTCTAAATCAATGATAAGGAAAGTACCATTTGAACGGACTTCATATGAGTGATAATGAGAATTGTATGACAAAGTAGTCAGAGCTTCACCTATAATAATGGGACCAGGACATGACTCTACAAAAGCAATATCAGCAATTCTTGAAAAAACTGGTTCATCATTTTGAAATTCAATTAGAAGGCAGTCATTTCTTTTGTACTGAGTGCCCTTCACATTAATCCAATTCACTCTGCATGTAAAAGTTATTGTATAGTCAATTTGAATTACATGTGTGTACATGAAACATGAAACTTACATATTTAATTGAGTTCTTAGATTGAAACCTGGAAAGTAACTCAAAAAAGCTGATGTGTATTCAAGTGATGATGCTTCCTTTACACAAGCTATAAGGATGTAATGAAATTATGGTGAAAGATTTAACTTACATGGACCAGATTCAATAGCATCTTTAAATATAAGGTGAGGCTTTGATAACATGTAACACATGCGTCGTTGGTGTCGATAAGCAAGGGTTTTTGCAATATTTTTAAAGTTACCTACGACTTTTGCAATTTGTTTAAAGTACCGATGCTTAGCTTCGAAACGCATGCACCATAATTTACTTAGTGGTCCACATCTAATGGCAATAATGATTAATAATAATTACTATTTTATATTACTTTATCATCCATTGAGGAATGTGTATCATGTAGTGGAGTTTTGGTGTAAGTGTTCTGTCTGGATAACACTCAAGGAATGTTGAATGGTGTTGATGAATCAATTGACGTAAGTGTGCAGCAAGTCCAACAGTACATTTTGGTGCCATTGTTATCTGTACTATGTCGAGAAATAAAATATATAACTGCCAATACTCATTTTCTTCTGATACCAAGTCACCAATTAAAATTGGTAAAAGTCGTGCCAATGCCCAAGTTTCACTAGCTATAATTTTAAAAATGAAGCATCATAATGGTACAACGTACATAAAATAATCTAACCTCCCATTTTCTTTGTGTTTCTAGTGAAATATGTCTCTGGGAGTGGTTTTGGGTGATCGCTAACATCATTACCATAAGGAAGTGATAAAATTCTCTCATTTAACACTGGCAAGCTGATTATCTTATCATTAATAAGAGCAGTAAGTAGACAGCGTAATTCTACTTGCATTGCACCCTCTAAAATATCATGCATCACATCTGGAGGCAGTCCCATAGTTACATGGAAATACCTATAATACATGTAAATGTACATGTTACTTTACTACCAGCAATATTATTTCTGCTTACTTAATTTTATTTAATGCAGTGTCTCTTGTGATGCCATAGGTTGTTGAAACATGATCATGGAGGGGTCCTTGCAACAAGCGAATATGATGGCTATGTGTTTCTTTAGTGCGAGGTTCAAACTCTTCAGCAAAAAACTGTAAGTTATACATAATTTATACATGTAGTAGTTCAATATGATAGAATATAATACAAATACATGTACATGTGTATACACTACATGCAACATATGCATGTACATGTACTGTATGTGTGTATATACATGTAATAATTATGCATATGTATAATGTACATGCATGTCATGTATGTGTTATAATACTGAATTACACCATATTTTTGAATTTACTGTAACATGGTACATTTATATGTACATGTTTCTACATGTACATGTATGCATGAACATAGTTTTATTTTACACCAGTATTTTTAATGTAGCTACTACAGCCTACTAGTGTTGTTTATATTAGCCCTTTCAATTTTTTGTAAGTAAAATTTGTCAAAATAAAAATAAGTATATAAAATACCTTTGTTTGAATTTCTGAATCGACAGCTAAGCAATGTCTGCATTTTCGAAGAGCTGATGCTAGCATTTTATACCCTCCTAGTGCTTGACTAGCAGGATTGTCTGCAATTGCTAGGCAGAGGGTTCCTTTCAGGTGACGTTTATTACCTTTAACTATAAACTCAACACCACTCTACAAATAAGGGTATATATGAAAATTAATGTATATAAAATGATAAATAAGTAACATACACTTTCAAGTATTTGAATGCTTTCTATAAATGGTTGTAAAATAGTGTCCATGCCATATTTGTCTATATAACTTGATTTTACAACTGACACCAGCTGAATTGTATCAAGGTTTGCTCGATGGCGTGACTCAATATTCCCAAGAGTGTAATAAAAGAGTCCTATCATGAAAGTTATACATGTAGTTGTATTTATTGTTGTGAATGATTCATATTGTTAATTATGCATGTGCATACATGTATGCCCCCATATTTCATTACCTAATTTATGAACAGTGGCAGCTGAGCCTAGAGGATTGCATACCTCTACGTCATCATAATAAAGGAACAATTGCAGTGCATGAGGAGCAGAACAGAACAAGCTATTGTTTTTATACAGCTGCCCATCACAAAAATCTTTCAGAATTCCATCACTTGCAGCATTAGAATTAAAAATCTATTATAATTATGTTAGATATTTCATTTTATGACAAGTTGACAACCTGTTCACAAAATCCATCATTTTTTAGAATACATTGGAGAGATTGAAACAGCGGTATATCATAGCAACACTCATAATTAATATGTGAACCGAGAGATGATGACTGGACTAAATTTCTTCCCAATACACGTTCAACTGGCTCCTATATGTACAAGCAATTTAAATTAGTTTATTGACGATTATTATTATTATTGACTCACTAATAGAGATAAATGTTTTTTAAAGTACTGATTTTGTTTATATTCCGTCTCCAGGTCATCAAAAGGACATTGCATTTCTTTAAAAATGGTACTTGTTTCTGAGATTACTGCCTGAGACACATCATTATCCTTCAATACTTTCATTACTTTTGCCTTAACTAATTCTATATTTTGTTCATGGAACATCGTTACACCTGTAAGTACTCCATCCAATGCAGATTGAGTTAGATTGTGGCCATCCCTTGTCGACAGTATAAATTGGGCAGAAATTTTCTTTAGATCCAGTGGAGTATCTTGACTATCTTCTGCTTGTATGTCACACGTGCTAGTGGTTGTGTCATGAATGCTGTCTGTTTCAAAATATTCCTTAAATGAGTAAAAATTTTTAAAAATCATGATTATAATTTAATTTATTACTTACATCATCATGTGTTGTATCTGGAAGAGAGTCATTAATTCTGCTGACTTTTTCTTGCATATGATGCTTACGATAGAGATGTGACCGCCAAGAACTGTATTTGTTAAAAGTTCTTGGGCATCCATCTAATCCACATTGCAAATGAAAGTTGCTATCAAAAGCATGTTCTGTTCCTATGTGACGCAATACTCCCTGAAATGTTGGTGAAGCAAAGCTGGAACAAAGAGTGCATTGCAGTTGGGACATTTTTATAGTATACTAGTTGCTATGGTGATGGCTGCACGTGATCCTTTGCAGTGCAGGTGTATAATGGCTGTTTGTGAAGGACCGCGAGTGTTACTCTGCTATCTGAATTCAAAAAAGATAATTGGAGCTAAATCCTCAGATGAAATAGAATGTGCTGTATCTCGAAATTTTAGTCTTGCGAAAGGGGAGTTTTTTTTACAATACTACGATGAAGTATTTGAGGAATGGGTTGATATTCCTGAAAATTACGTGCCAGCTGACAAAGAAAAGATCATGGTGATATCACGCTCAAACGATGGTGTAAGTAGACTAATGTGTACCATAGCTGGTCATATGTAGGTCTCTTAGGTAGTGGAAACTTTTGAGGCAGCAAGTCATAACATGGTGGTACAGCAAGAAACACCAGCTGCAAACACTTTTGAATCACTCTCAAACAGTGATGTAAGTATTGTGCCATGAATATATCATTTCTTTGCCTTTAGAGCTTCTCATTTTCTGAAAATTCAGTGGCAACTAGTCTTGATCACCAAGCATCATATTCTGAAGTTATACCAGCTGGTATTATTTCTAATAGCTTGGCACTAGTAAATGATATTGATATAACTATGCTAAATGAACCTTTTGGTAGCTTGATAGAGGAAGGTAATTTAAAAATATTTTTTGCTAATAGAATTATGCGTGCAGGTGTTTTCAGTAATGATACAAGTGAAAGTGTTTTAGGAGAAACGTCACTTAGAAAAGGATTAGGTAAGTGGTAATTTTTTTCTATTAAGTATCAAAATGTTAATAGAGAAAATATCCACTTTTACATTATTTTATGTTCAGTATAAGTCTTTATTATGCCAGATTTTTGAATTTTACTTAGATGAATCAGTTGTTTCTGATAATTGTGTTAGTGGAAATCTTTTAGGAGAGACACCCCCTAGCAAAAAGTCAAGTAAGTATGCAATGCTAAAGTTTACCAGGTGTAATAATTTTACTATGAAAGTACTAATAAACTTATCATTCACTTCATAGAAATAGAATTAAATGCAAGTCCTGCTATTATTACTGTTGAAAATGAAGAGGATCATAAGATACCAAGTCCATTTCCGTTTCCAAAGCACTATACCCCTGATATTGAAATTGGACTAAAAATGAAGAATCTTCAGCCAAAACTACAGGCTAAGTTCTTCACAAGGATAGCTAACGTTATGTTTATGTACACTAAACATCCAAAAACGTTAGAATATCAAGAAGTAGTGAGGCAAATTGTTCAAAAGTACCCATTTCTTGTATCGCCTTTAGACACTGAAGGACATGTAAGTTTTTTGTATTTTCATTTTTGAATAATTAAGTATCAATGCAGGGGCATATCATCAAAGCATTACGAGATAGATTTCGTGAATTTAGACGCAGCAAAACCATTAATACTTCCAATCAATCAGATGTGAAGGTTGAACTGAAGCGTAAAGGAAAGCAAAAGGCAAAAATATCAGGTTTAGAAAAACTTCCTGTGGGTGAGGATAAAACATCATTTATGAGGCACAATAAATTGCTTAAAATGGAATACAAAAAGGTTAGTTTTTGGTATTTTGTTTTTGGATCTATAGTTCATATATAAGGTTCACCCAAATATGGTGATTGTTTCAGAGGCTATGATATTATCGTTTGAAATGAGGCGTAATGATATGTTGACTAATGTAAGGCCAGTGGAGCAACTTCTGGATGAGTATCCATTTTTGAGTAACAAGGATGAGGTATTTTTGTAGTGCAAAATTATGTATTTTAAAAGTTATTATAGCTTCTAGCTGAATTTTGTCGAATTTTACACAAGCCACAATTAATTCAGACATATACATGTAGCTGGACTGAAAAGTGGATCAAGAGAATGGTGTGTGTCTGTTGCAGTAATTTGCATGGTGCAGAACAGGAGAAAGCCAAAGAACTTTCCTTGTTATGTGAAACCCTTCCAAGTACAGTATAATAATGATCATTATGATTTTTGTATCAATAAATTATTATGATATCATTATAGATAGCGCTGATAAAGTTACAGCTGGACTTTTGAAGCTATTACCTTTTCTTGTTCCTGACCACAAAATTAAACCTGATATAGAAAAGTTATTGATATCAATACCAGTAAGTAACTTACTCTTATTATTACAATAAATCAATCATTTTAATTTAAAACTAGGTTAGTTTAAGTCCCACTGTTGCAGCAAAAGATACAAGTTTCAATTCACCATGCCTAGTAATAAAAGATGTAATGGAGGTATTCTTGGTAATGGAAAAGAAGGTTCTATGTAAAATTTCAATTACTTTAGCTCCATTATACTTACTTTCTGCTTTTTTTGTTTTTGATATGGTGTATCCTAAAGGAATGACAAGTCTATATCATCTCTTTGAAAAGATTCTGCTAGATAAGCATGATACAAAGTGCTCTCAAATTGTCAGTCGTTTATTCACAGCTATAACTATGGAAGACATAATATAAACAAAATAGTAGGGTTTAAACTTATTTTTCTACTGATTTTGTTTTATTACTAAGTACCAAGCTAATTTTACTAGGCACTGTATTATTATAGTTTATGAACGAAATAGTATATGGTTTTAACTTCTGTTTCTATAGTTTTTATACATTTTTTTATTATTATAGGTACATGTACATTATTATAAAGCTTTTTACTAGGCACTGTGTTATTATTTGGTGTTTATTTTTGTTTATGTTTGTTTTTTGTTGTTGGTTTTAGAGGTTTATAAAGATTTTTACTTTTATAAAAAATGTGTTAACTCCACACCTTGATATGCGTTAAGAGCACACATGTACAAATGCTACACAACAGTTGTGTGTAGAACACGCACTCCTTCAGTGTGACTATTGTGGCAAAGAGGTCACACTCATTTTTGTGTGATGTATACATCCTTGTTTTTACAGTGTATAGTAGTGGTGTTAGAGCCCTATTATGATTGGACATAGATTACATGTAAAGCACGTATTGCCGAAGAATATAATGTGTAAAAACTAATGAAGACCTAGATATTGAAGTATAATGATTTTTATCACAATAATTCATAGTTGTAATGAAAGAAAAATCAACTTCGACAAATTAATGTAAAAGTTATGTCTTGTTTACATTCTTCATATATACTATTAATTTGTGAAAGAAATTGTGAATTATTTACTATAATTATATTTTAGTATAACTTGTCTCCTTTTCTCCGTTTGCTTTTGGTTGAATCAATTCTTTTAAACATTCTTGCATGCATGTGACATGATACATGTTCTTCATTTTTCTGATTCTTGCAATATTTTAATAAGAATACATTCAAGTCCTTTCTTTATAAAATTTAATGTACATTGCAATTTTAGTGACATAACTCACGTGTATTGCAGCAACATGATACCAGCATAGTTTAACTTCATGTCTTGAAGCCTGTTTTGTTGACTTTATTGAACAGTCATCGTATTGACCCTGAAATGATTGATGATAATTGTTTAACACTATATCAATTTTACGGTCAAAATGTATTCATCTGTCTACATTTCATCAGTTACCTTTTCAGAGCTGTCTCCTGAAGTAGCCATACTTCGTGATTGTTTCAGTCTTTAGATCAAACATGTTGCAAATGATCTGAAAATTCTTTTATATATCTCTGCTGTTCATATAAATAATTATGATGTAACTGTTACTAACTTTGGTTTGAGTGGCAATGTAAGATGCCAAGTGTATACATAAAATTACTGAATTGTATTACGTCATCATGATGAAGTTCTGCAAGCTTTAAATCCACTCAGCAGTTATGACGACAATTTTTAGGTAATGTAGACTTGAAGAAACTCAGCAGATGTAATAATGACATCATTTGTTACTATATTTATACTCTATGCAAAACAGTATAAAAGGGGATAAATTGCTTACTTGCTATAATTTCAAGTTTTTGCATTCTCTAATGGTAATTTAAAGCAATGTCAAGAAAAAGACTGACTTTTGAGAGCCTCTCTTATATTACAGAAGAGGGCTGTAATGCTGAGTTTAATGCTGCAATTGAGTTCTTGTCTCCCATAAAGAAGAGCACTAATGAAGGCAGTACTATCATGGGAAGGTGACTGATGATGGAAGCCCCTTTAGGATTGCTGGATTCGACTGTAAAAGTCGAGCAAAGTTCTCTGCCATTTGTGCAGCTAAGAGCCCAGTCCATCTTACCAACTGTGCAGTTAAGAAGAGTAATTCTAACAATGCTATGGAGGTCATTGTGAGGCCTACTACTGTGACTGAGTCTTCTCCCAGGACAATAGAAGTTCCTGTTCCAGAGAAAGCATAAAACATGAACATGTCAGAAATATTGGATGTAGCAGATGGTGTGTTGGTCAATCTTTGATCTAACGATATAAATGTAGCACGTGCTAGGGTAGTAAGAACTGGACGCTTACAAGAAGTCACACTTTGCAGATCAACAGGAACCATCAAGCTAT